CCCGAGCTGCATCCCCGGGGAGGGATGCTTTACCCAGTGCCCCCTTACCACTCCTGCCTTGGGATCCTGGGAAGGAACTTGCCAAAACTAACTGGGAAGCAGCCCTGTGCTCTGCAGGGAAAGCCACCAGGTGTTTTGCAGTGCCAGGATTACCTTGTCAGGCCAGGATCCAGAGGAGACTCCGGTGTCCACAGCGGCTGTGCCGGGGCTGACAGGGTGGGGGTGACTCATCCCCAGCAGGCTGGATCCCTACGGGTCTCCACGTGGTTTTTAAAGTGACCCAGGGGTTGTAAAAAATGAAACAACCCCTCATCTTCCTCATTCTTGCTCTTAGACCAAGTTGCTCAAGAGCTGTAACCACAGTGAAACCCTCCCTGCCCTGCAGTTTTGCTCCTAAAAACTCCACGGAGTGCAGCCTGCTGCCAGGGATGCTCAGCCCATTCCCATTCCCATTCCCATTCCCATTCCCATTCCCATTCCCATTCCCATTCCCATCCCTGGCAGATGGAGGACAGGATGAGCAAAGCCTCCCCACAGCCTGCTCAGCCCCGCTCCTCCTCCCTATCTCTGGGATGCATCCCCTGTTTTGTTCTCTCCATTCCAGCTTTCCCACTGGGCTCTCTGCTCTCCTGCCTCTCCCCGGGGCAGGATCCGGCCTTTCCCCTTCCTGCCTGAGATCCAGCTGGAAAACACCGGCCAGGAACCTTCTCCCCACAACCACCCATGCCTGGGCATCCCTTGTGGCCTCCTGTTGCCTCCTGCTGCAAATCCATGTGCCCGATGGAACCAAACCCCTCCCAGTCCCCCCGGGGAAGCGTGAATTTGGGGGGGGGTCACCCCAGGAGCCACGTCCTCCCACCCCAGCTCTCACCTGCTCCCGGCCCCCCGCCGTGCTGGGGCCAGCGCCTGCCGGCACCATGGGAAGCTGGAGCTGGATCCCAAGGCGTTGCCCTTTTCCTGCCTCACCTTTCCAGTCTGGCAGCAGCTCTGGTGCAACCCCAAAGCTACCCCTTCTGTTAACCCCTCGCTGGCTGAGCCAACCCCATCGCCAGGGCATCGGGGCAGCCACAGCAGCTCTTGCACCCAGGCAGCAACTGCCCGTGGGGTTTTGCTTCAACGTGGGGGAATTTTGCAGCATGGAGGGTGGGGGGTGGGGACACGACTGAAATCTGTTTGGTTTCTCTCTCTTTTTTTGTTTTTTTTGCCTGGCAGCACATTTTTCCAGAGCCGGCAAAACTGGCTCGACGCCTTTTTCCTGAGTCACAGCAGTTGGGTGCTGGGAAGGGTGACAAATCCCTCCTGCACCCTATTGGGCTGCCCTAAACCTGCAGGTTTGGGTGCTCGTGTCCTCCCTCCCAGCGATGGGCTTTTGCAGGATAGAGGTTTGGGCAGGAGAGTGGATCTTCACTCTCCTCTCACAGCCTTTATTTCAGCCGGGATGGGGGTGGGAAGCGCGTTACAGCCTCGGTGAAACAACATGATCTGCCTGTGGCACCAGAAAACTCCTGTTCCTGCGCCAGGCACTGAGCTCACAGGGAGGTGAGGGTCTCGGTGGGGTCCTGGGGAGACGTTGCTGCTGGTGGGGGGTCCTGGCTCATGTCCTGTTTTGTGTTCTGCTCCGGCGTCCCAGGACAGCCTTGTTCCTGGGAGAGACATGGAGGGGACACCAAGCTGGAGACTTTGCACTTCCATTAAATGGGACCTAAGGAGGATTGAGTCTGGCTGGGGGGTCAGGTCAGTGTCTGCCCCACTGGCACTGCTGCACCCACCTCGGCTATGGAGCTGGAGGGGGAACTTCTATCCCCAGGGCAGCCACTTGATGCCACATCGGGGGTGAGGTCCAGCCCCATCTGCCAGCAGAGCAGTGTCACACAGGGCTGGATTTGTCCCATGGACACCCTCAGTCCTGTGTCCCCACATCCTCACAGGATGCCCCCCAGCAAGGGTTGGGGCCCCCAGCAGGCTGGGCATCCCCCTCCCTGCCACCCACACCTTGCTGTACAGTCCCCTCCTGCCACCAGAACTTCCTCACCTGAGTTTTGGCCACCTTTGGCTCCACGTCCACCACCTCCACGCTCTCCTCAGAGTCGCTCAGCTCGTCCACAGCCCTGCTGAGCTGGGGTAGCTCCAGCCCCCCGCCCCGGGATGGACACACCGACGCCTCTGCTGTGGGGCTGGGGGCATCATGGGGGGCTGGGGATGGTTCCTGACCCTCCCTGCTGGTGGCCGCGCCGTCCGGCTGATGGGCACCCTGGGTGGCAGCAGCAGCTTCGCTGTCCCCCGGCCCATCCGTGGGCTCCCCCAGCTCCAGAGGCGCGGTTGCCG